GAGATATTAACTTTACTAAGATATAGCAAAGTTTGAGTTCGAAGAGTATAGTGCTGAACTCGAGCTGAATGCTACTGGTTCTTATTCTTCAATGTTGCAATGAAGAATAAGATGTAAATTAAAGTTAGTATAAAAGCTGCCACCATGTTGCCAACCACTCTTATTCACATAAAGGCAAATATCAAACCATATTGAAATGATATAAGAGTTTACACCTTTTTAAAGAAATACCAACCTTAATCCAAACCATACATTATAATTAAAATTAAGATGTTAGACTTCTAATCTATAATATCATTAATCAATATTGATATCATTATAAGGATAGTAAAGTCAATATAGTACTATAATTCATATTATTGTTATATTGCTTGAGGTTCTAAAAGCTAGGGCTACGAAACGTATTTGCTGTAGTGTCGGAAGACGCTAGCGTTGACGCTAGCGTAATCACATGATCCCTGTCCCAACAATAATATTTATAAATATCAAAACAAATCCCTACTTTAAGAAAGGGTATGGAATATATCTAAACTAATGTTAAATTCTTTAAAAATTCTAAATAAAGAAAGGCGCTTATTGTATTAGATCTGAAAAACACAGAAAATAATGAATTAGTATTAAAATAAGAGATAAAGAAAATAAACTATTAAATTCAAGAAAATTTCTAGAATAAAGCTTTATTATTATTTAATCATTAATTTAAATACATTCAAAATCATACTTCAAGTACTTCAATTTTTCAACAAAAGAGATAGTTAGCCTGTTTCTTTACATTATAAGAATAATCTTAACATTAGAAGACAGTCTTTCAACCTTTATTACAACATTAAGAATATTTAATAAACTGAATACTATTTTGTTTAAATTAAAGAATAATACTTACTATACAAACTTTTATTACTATACTCTTATATCTTTTATATCATCAAATATAAAAGTTATAAGATATTTTGAATATTTATTCATTAAGATGTAAAAAGCTTTTTTAGCTTATAAATACACAATTGTCACGGGACCACTTCTGGGAGCATTCAGAAGCTTTACCGCTATACTACAAAAGCATAAAAGACTAGGAGATAGAACTGAAAGTTCTATCTTGCTCTCACATATATAGCAGGACAGGACAGGAAGATCTAGTGTCACCTCGTGACAACAATATAAAAATTCTCTAATATTTGAAATAAAAATTTACAGGGAATATAAAAAGATTTAAAATCAAAGATGAATTTGTACTAAATCATTCAAAGTTTTTCGATTCTTTTTTCTATTAACGTAACGTATGGGGAACTCGGACATATGGGGAACTCGGACACTTTTAGCCCATCACCAACTTGAAACCGCAATAACTTTTATTATGCATACCCAATCACCTTCTACATCTGCTCAAATTGAAGAGAAGCTTCAAAAGGCTATAATTTCACTTCAATTGAAAGAATTTAAATCAATTAGAAAGGCTGCAGAGCATTTTGAAGTCCCTAAGTCTACCCTAGCTGATAGGCTGGCTGGGAAGAAAACACGTTCTCAAACCCACGAAATGGCTCAAATTCTTTCAAACGCAGAAGAAAATACTCTTGTACGATGGATTTCACAACTTACCATCACTGGATTCCCTGCTACACCTATGTTGGTGAAGGAAATGGCCGACGAAATTCGTCTTCGACGCGTTCGGGTCGCGTCATCTCGAAATCCTACCTCGACAGAAATTCCACCTATAGGCCACGAATGGATCTATAGATTCCAAAAACGACATCCAGAACTTAAAACATGCTATTCACGTCAATTAGAGTCTAATCGGGCTAAAGAAGCAACTCTGGAGAATATTCAGGCTTGGTTTGACGCGTTTCGCACGCGTCTTATTGAGCGAAAGTATGAATTAGATGATATGTATAATATGGATGAAACCGGATTTGGAGTTGGAAGTACTCAAAGTACGCGCATTATAGTCGATTCTACTCAGAAATCGAATTGGAAAGTTACAGCTGGCAAGCAAGAATGGATAACTGCATTTGAATGTGTCAATGCAGCTGGAAATGCTCTATCACCTATGGTCATTTTCAAGGCTCAGAATACGAATTCTGCATGGATTCCAAAGGACACACCTCAAAGCTGGCAGTTCTCTACTAGTACAAATGGATGGACCTCAAATAGCCATGGATTAGAATGGTGAAAAAGGGTTTTCGAACCAGAATCCAAGAAAGTGTCAGGTGACCGACCTCGACTTTTGATCATGGATGGCCATTCAAGCCATATTACAGGTAGCTTTATTGCTTTCTGTATAGATAATGATATTGATTTACTTATATTACCTCCTCATTGCTCTCACTTGCTTCAGCCACTTGATATTGCGGTGTATGGGCCAATGAAACGATATCATGCTTTAGAGGTCGATCGATATTCTCGAGCTGGTGTAAAGCGAATCCAAAGAGCTGAATGGGTAGAACTCTTTCAAAATATTAGAAAAAAAGCATTGAATTCTTCTAATATTAAAGCTGGCTGGAGAGGAGCTGGTTTAGTACCTTTTGCCCCACGAAAAGTACTCGATTCATTACCATTTAACTCCTCCCAGCAACCTTCTACTCCACAAATGAGAACCCCCAATCAAGACCTAGACTTGTCTATACTCAGGAGTTCTCCTCCAGATGGAACAGAACTAAGGCAAGCAAATCAGATCTTTAATACAGTTCTAGCAAGCAGTGGTTCTCCTGCATCGCCAACTCGTCGATATGCCAAGAGAATGACTAGGCTTGTAGAATCTCAAAATGCTGAGATAGCCCTACTTCGGAAACAGCTCTCTGATGCTCAGGAGGTAATTGAGACTCGAAAGAAAAGAACTAAAGGCAAAAGAGTCAAATTACAAGGTCAATTTGTCTTTAGTACTAAGGAAGTATTGAAAATGGTACGTGAGGCGGAGGAAAAACCGAAGGAGAAAAAGCCACGAGGACGGCCACGCAAACGCCCAATTGAAGAATCAGAAGAAGAGATTGAAGAAGAAGAGCTAGAGAATAGTTCAAGTGATTCGGAATTGGAATTGGAGGATTGTGTGGCTCGTAGAACAAGATCGCGTGTAGAATAATTGAAAAAGTGTCCGAGTTCCCCATATGTCCGAGTTCCCCATACGTTACGTTATAATAATCATATAGACATATTCTTTCAAGCTTTCTCAAAATATATTCATTTTTGAGTTGGATTTATTATAATTATAATGAAATATAAAGGAATATCATTTATCATAAATAATACTTTTCAAGCTTTATTTATTTTACATTATAATTAAACCCTGTAAATGAATTATTAATATACTTATTCTAAATCAAAAGTTTATTAATTTTAATATTTTTAAAGCTTTTAATAGAATTAAAGCTCAAAAATAAAATATAAATAATAAAAATCAATCTTTTTATTCTCAAAATAAGATAATAAAGATTTCACTATCTTGATTTTCTTATCAGTAAGTTCCCGAACTAGTCGCACACTAAAATAAATAGCTTATATCGACCCACTTCATTTTAGTCCCTCCTTCGAAGCTTTTAGCAAGTCCAAGCTCTGGATCGCATCATTTCGAATCTTTTCCTCTGCTTGAGAGAGGCGCGGAGCCGTTAAAATGCTTGATAGTCTCACTCTAGATAAGCCATCGTTTGTAGGCACTGCGTTTTTAGAGCTTGCCATTCACCGTGATAGTCTGAGAGGAAGTAAGTAAGGGAAGAGAAGGTGATCTGGTATTAGAATGACTGAATGTGAACTTGTGCTTACTTATATTCCTTTCTCGTCAATGGCTATCGTGTGCGTATCTTGCGAAAGTCAGAGATATTATGACTCTGCCCTGGAAACTTGGAAGCAGTTTTTGCGATGGGTCCACAGACAGAGGAAACAATCAAAGCGATTCTCAAACTTGCTGATTGAAAAAGTTTTGGAGCGTAAAAGGTGAACTATTCCCATCATAATCAATCGACTCACCAGACACGCAAAAAACAAAAGTGAGTGAGTATTGTTGATCGCAAATAGTTTGCTATCGAACGCTACATCGCATACATAAATCTTGACTCCAATAATCAACGTATTTGCTTTCATACCAGCTCGAAAGATACTTTAGCCTGTTTGGCTTCAAACAAATGATCAAGACTTGTCAGTTTGATATTTATCCTGACACTGGCCAAGGGTATTAGCATAGACATGAATGCTCTTAATAGTAAGTAGTTGCGCTGCTAGCATTACAATCGGTAAATGGATCTTTCGCTAACTTCCCAAACCGCATAATAAACCTGAATCCTGTAATGTAAATAAGAGTTGAGGCCCTGAATTATTATACACCACTCTTTTTCATAACAAAATCCCTACAAAAATATTGTTTTCCTATATAAATTAATTATTCTTATAATTCTTTAATTATTTAAAGAATTAGTTTGAAAATTGTATATATAAGAGATAATTATATAAAGAATATTTGATTTAAATAATTCCTTGAAATTATAAAAATTGATAAAGTTATATATTTTTAAAATTTATAACATATAACACTTTTTTCAAGTTTTTTAATACTTTCAATTTTAAAAACCTATAATTTTATTAAAAAAAAAAATTAAAAATATTTCATTTGTTTTTTTGAATTATTTCAATAATTTTCAATCTTATATATTATTTTTATAAACTTAATTCATAAATTAATTAAATTAATATATAGTTTAAAAGTAAAAGAAATAAGGGTTTTTAGTGTGTTTTCGCTTAGTATATAATAAGCCGGGGCCTAAACTCTTATATAACTATACGACGCTTAAATGATTAATTATCTAGGTATGAGATTAATAGTTTCTTGAGGCTATTGAATTGAGTTTAACAGAGATTCTCGGATTTTGAGAAGTTTTTAATATATATTATCAATCCACATTTCTAGTAAACCTCAAAAAATGCAATTTGATTGGTACTTATTTGAATGGTCACGTGCTACGTTTAGATAACCGTATCGAAGTCCAGGGTATTCTACAATTACTGTCCTAGTCTGGAAGATGGCGGCCACCAATAAACAACACAACGTCTACTCTCTTGCCTATCACGGCTTTGAGAACAACGTGGGCGACGCAGACTTTGAGTTTGCACAGATTGAAAATATCCCGACGACTACCTTTGGGGCGTCGGCTACCAGTCTTAAGCCAGGAAAATGGCTATCCATGGAAGAAATTCGCTCATGGGCATCTGGCAAGACAATGAACATAACCAAAGGCAACGATCACAGCAGACTCTATAAGACTATCGTCAATCCATACGAGATCCGTGTGCTTGAAATTAAGCCGGGGCGCAATATTGAAAAGCTGCGTGGGTCTCTGCATCATTGCTCAGTTGAGTTTGAGTACGAGACCGCTGTGGACCAGTTTGGACTTCACAGGACAACATACACAACGCATGCGCTTTCTCTGAAGAATCCAACAAGCCCGATTTGGTATACAGCACTAAGCTATACGTGGGGCTCATCTAGTATGGATGGAAGTATTGAATGTGATGGACATGAGAAAGCTATCACAACTTCTCTCGAGATCGCACTGCGAAACATGCGGAAGGAATATCATCCCATAGTCATGTGGATTGACCAGATTTGTATAAATCAAGAAGATGATAAAGAAAAAGAAACGCAGATTCCCTTGATGGCAAGAATTTATCAGCATGCATTTAACACGGTGATCTGGCTAGGGCAATGCGAGCCTACTTCCGGCTCTGCAATACAGCTACTCAAAGATATCAATGTCACATTACTGTTCAATCAATCAAATGTTGATTCCGAGGATTTTGAGAGAATGCAACTACCAAGCTCCGACTCGAAGACCTGGCATGCTCTTTGGAGACTTCTATCGCACCCATGGTTTACGCGGCTCTGGATCATTCAAGAGGTCATGCTCTCTAATAACCCGTGGATCATGTGTGGTGGCGAGCTACTTATGTGGGACGAATTCTCAAAAGCTGTGAATCACCTGTCGACGTGTGGAATATTTCAATGGCTACAGATTAAGTTTGCTAACGTCGAGGACTCAAGTGAACTTGGTGATATCAGTCAAACTGTACTAGGGCTGACTCGCCAACGAGAACATTATCGCAGCGCTAGTGATGGGACACACATCTTTGAGAATCTTGTAAGCACGCGAGGTAGCCAATGTTTTGATCCACGAGATAAAATCTATGGGCTTCTTGGGGTATGCAGTGATGCAGACAAGTTTCACGTCAGGTACACGAATTTTACAGAAAACCAACTCTACCACGACGTAGCTATTAACGCTTTGACCAAAAACATACAAATTCTAACTCCAAGCCTTGTTTTTAAATCCATAGACCACGAGTCTCTTGATCTACCCTCTTGGGTGCCTGACTGGAGAGAGCGCCGACAAACGAATGAGCTTGGGACTTACAATGCCAGCGGATCTTTCAAGTTTAAATTGAATAAGATATATGTTAAAATCAACGATGAATCTAGGAATGAGCTTCGAATACAGGGGATCCCATTTGACTCTGTAACAAGAACCAGCGCAACGATCACAAATCCCGATCTTACTTACCTCAATCCACAAAACGATAACCAAAGTCTCTTGAAACTCTGGACTTTTGTCTCAAAACTGAAGCATTACCCGACTTCTCATACAATCTTTTATGCTTTTTGGCAAACCCTCGTAGGAAGTAAAACCGACTCCGGAAGGTTACCATGCCCTGATTCTTTTGCTGAAATTATCAGTCTCCTCCTCGATGCATCCACGGGCCAGTCTCCATCGCTACCAGGCCAAACGTATTCACCGCGACAACAAAAGCCCATTGGAAAAGGCAGGCTCGAATTAGCTAATCTCGCACAAAGAGTGCCAGGGCAAACATTTCAAGAGGTGCGCGAGGCCATGAAATATGTGCTCAAGAATCGCAGGTGGGGAACCACGAGAAATGGGTTTTTTGGATTGTTCCCTCGTTACGTGGAAGAGGGTGATATAGTGTATGTGATGGATGGTTGCAATGTCCCGTATTTGCTAAGAGAGGTCGATGGGGAGGGTAGGTTTCGGTTGGTGGGTGAATGCTATGTTTTTGGGATAATGGATGGGGAGGCTGTTGGAAGAGAGGGATTTGCGTTTGAGGAAATTATTTTAGTTTAGTTCTGAGATTGGGAAAGTTCCGAGGACGCTCTGAGATGATCATTATTTCTTCAAGCTCTTTGTGCAATCCGAATGTTGGCCGGCATTCCATTCAGCTTTATTATTCAATCACTAGAATTTCCACGATCAGGGCGCAATTAAGGCCTGATGTTATGGGTTTGAACTCTGATAACCGTATCATATAATGCGTTTAGCGCTGGAAAAGTCATAAACTGTACGTAGACACGTAGTAGTAATTTTATGAGTGAGTTAGTAGGAAACTCGTCTCCTAAAACAGATTATTGCACCCAACAGCAAACGCATAGTATTCTGTACTCGTGTGTTTGCATCCTCTCGTCTTCTTCCTCTTGATCTCGCATCCTGCTAGCCCCCACTAATATACTGCACACCCGCAAGATCGCAAGGTCCAATAGAGTTAACACTAAAAAAGCAGTCTGTGTTTTCAAGATTAAATTGTTCCTGGGCTTCAACGCCAGAGGGGCAGTTAGGTGGTGGATTCGAAACACCTGATACAGCAGGCCCAATGCCTTTAATATAGTAACAAGCTGACACTTCGTTCGGGTCGGAACTCTGGAAGGAAAACCCGACACAATCATCTGTTGCCCAGCAGATCCTACAACAATCCGCCTTTGTTGAATCTTCGACATACGTGATGTCAAAGGCTGATCCATCTATATTTTTGGAGTATGGACCGGGAATTGGCATTTGGTCGCAGTAATTTGGAACTGGTGTTTCTGTGACAATCACAGTAGTAGTTGTGGTCGCAGTTGTGGTGGTAGATATGGTGTTGGTCAGCTTTTGTACTTCAGTGATCGTATTGATAGCTGTTTTTGTTACCTAGTAGATGTAAAGTCAGCAATCACTTATCAGAAAAGGCATCATCTCGCCTTTGTAAATTTCCAAGAATATAAAAAACAAACATATAAACGAAGGACATGTTTCTTGGGATATCAAAAACTGACTGTGACAAAAGTGGGTGTTTGAATCTGAAAGGTGACCGCGGATGGCGTGGAAGTCGCGGTGCTCGTTTGTTGTACGGTGGATGTTACTGTGGTGGTGGGAGTCGGCAATGACAGACAACTGCAGGCAGATGATATCTTAGAAGCTGCGAATATGCTTAAATATGGAGGGATTGACGGCAGGTCTCGAGCGCCAAGTTGTCCATCATTAAGCAGTGGCTCTGGTGATCTCTTCACGTTGATTCCTGTGTGGTTGATGTTATAGTAATCGTATTAGTTGTCGTGAGTGTTTGAGTAGTATCGACTGTAGAAGTTGCAGTGGACATAGTGGTGATTAGCTGCGAGAGAGGAAATATTAGCAGGGGATTACGCAATTGCGAAGGTATAAATAGCGATCTGTCGAACTCGAGTGAAGGGAGGATTACTGACAGGAGTCAAAGTTTGAGTCCTATGGGTGCCAATTAGTAAGTGATAATTGAACAGATATCAGCTACACTCACTGGGTACCCGTCTCCACTGTGGTTGTCACAGTAGCTGGAGGCAATATCTGAGTAGTTGTAGTTTACTTAGTGGTTGTCGTGAGGATAGTTGAAATTTGGATCCCAAGATAGGCTGAGCAGAATGCTTCACCGCGATTCAAGGTAATGATATTGATGATAATAGTTTGAGCTAGGCAAACTAGATCGCGTTTCTCATCAACAAGAGGTGACGCCAGCCCAGTTGATGCGCTGAGAGCTGTAGTAACAGCATATATTGTCGAGAACCTCATGATGTCTAGAATCCTGCAAGGTTAGGAGGTTATCTCAACCAAAGATGAAAAAAGTGTGGAGGCGGAAGATTGCTGAGCTGAATGACTAGACAAAGAGGATCATAATATAGATAAACGAGACAGGCAGTCTTCGCTATTTCAAGGGCGACACTTACCCAGCGGCAATTTCGCCTGGGGAATAAGTGAAATGAGAAACTTTTTAAGTGTCCTATGCGGCTGGCAACATCGAGGCTTCTGTGGCATTACTAGTTCTTGGAGGACGGCAAGTGTTGGCTTGGAGGATTGAGGTCATCTATCCCACCCAGCTCGAGCAATATATGTAAATAGCTTCATGTGACCGACTAAAAAGAGCATTTCAAGCCATCTTATTGTTGGCAATTGAACCGGCCCGAGAAGTGCCACGGCGAGAAGACGATACTGAGTGACCACGGTAGAGGTCTCGCACATTAAGAGGCTGGATAGGCTCGCTCTCGCTTTACACGGAGCAAAAGCGGTGCGCCAAGCAGAGCCAAAGATGTGCTGGAATTTTCCGACCGATATCAACGATGAAGAACGCACGCGGCTTATATTCCCGTCACTTACCCTTTCCATTGGTGCGTCATATTTCCTTGCTTTCTTCTTTGAGACCATCTATTCTAGCAAGAGGTTGATGAAAAGCTGGACATCAGGAAAGCAGTAGCGAATTGGTCGTTCCCAGTAATCTAAAACGCTGCACCATCACACAAGGAAGGTATAGTCCCTCTGTGAACGGCTCAGTCGTGCTATTCTGCCTTAGCGTATATTTGAAGATCCAGAAAGATGAACACCAACAAGTGCCCAGCGGTATCGAACCTCTTCAGAAAAATCTCCAGACGATTTTCGAAAAGCAATCAAGCGAAATGTCTGGGCGGGTGGTCGACAACCTTTCATTGATTCGTCAGGAATTCTCCAACAACCTCGCCAAAGAATTTCATTGAACCGTTTAGGCGACTAGTAATCTAATTTGCGGTAGAGGCTTGAAGTATTAGGCTCAAAATTCGAAGACCACCCAGGGTAAAAATAAGTTACGTTCCATTGCACATTCTGAAGCTTTCATAATTCCCCGATTCGATCCTCCAATTTTTTTTCCCGTCATTGACTAATCCAAATGGTTTAATGAGATTGACTTCGATCGCGACTTCAAACACCACGGCCATTACCCATCGCCAGATGTAACCCCCACGTTGTATTTCACTTTTCACGACAATAACTATCTCCATCCTTCGAGTTACCAGTGCTTGACGTTTCCTGAAATGCTACAATCATGCGGTCAGACAAAGTGTGGGGCAAACCCCCAGTTTTGAATATATGTGACACAACAAATTTGCCCGATGAGATGGAGGAGGGGAAATGATAACAACTCAGCAATCTTCAATAGCACCGAGACCAAGGAGATTACGTGATGACATCATGTGATACACCGAAGTGGATATAGGCCATTCTTGACCACGGCTTGTGTGGCTGACGCAAGTTTTAAGGCTGTTGAATCGGCTCAAGGGCGTTGAATCAATAAACCCAGAAGCGATTCACACACAATAAGCTACATCTAGTTGATCAGTTGAATCCGATCTATAGTGCATTGCAGATTTTCCTTCTCTACCTTACAACCCTTGGTTGGATCTAAGCTATTATAGCACCTAGAAGCACCTAGTCATCCATTATCTGATTGCTGACTGATTACCACGTTAACACAGGTTCTCAGCCACGATGCTGTAGCCTATATCTTGGCAATTTGATCTAGATGAGATCTTTTTGATTGGATCTGGATCTTATTAAGTATGATGAGGTCGCGCGAAACTATAAGAACGCCGCATTCGCTTCCGAAAAGAGTTGAAGCGACGCACTACGTCGATATCGAGACAAATTGCAATTTAACCACGACGTGAAATCACATAATTTAATCACCCTGTACTCGTTAGATTTTGTGTGTATATCCAGGAGAGCTAATTTGAATTTAGTACTGTCAGGAAGTGTACTCGGGGTCCGTCCTGCTAAAATCAACCAAATGATCATGTGGTACTTTCTTCCGAGATAGGGGGGGTATCTCAGCCTTATATAGAGACACGACTAAAAACTGCATGGGCGAAGTGAAGACGTCTCAAGCTGATGTACGCACTGATGAACCAATGGTTTGACGGATATTCTCATCCGAACACCACACTCTCCCCAATTATACCTTCATGAGGAGCTATCTTATGCCAAGGCTCAGACAGATAGCGGTTCTAGATCATGGGATGCGCCTTTGCTAAATCCTCGTTGCAACTTGCGGCAGTTATTAAAGCATTGGACTTGTTCTCTCTCCGCCAAATGAGTGGTCACGCTGCGCGAGACACAGCAAGACAAAACTCGAATGAAAGTCTTACTTTGCCTCATCAACTAGCCAGTCGGAATCCATAAGCCCTTGAATGATGGAAATCATTGTGCGCTGCCTAAGATTGAGTGACGCTTCCAAGATAAATTTGGCTGCTAACCGCTATTTGCTGATCTGATTCATTAGCGAAGTCGTTTAGATAAGATCTAGGCTTTTCGAGCGAATAAGAATGAAACAAATAGGAGAGAATTCTCCATATAGATAGCTTCTGCAATTATGCATGAAAATGATGTTGATTGAAGCTCCGAAATTGTTGCGAGGTAGAGATTGCAGAACTTTAGAGATTAAATCATTTTCATTGGCGCGGCAGGATTTAAAAGATATAGTTATCTATCTAAAGGAACTCTATGTCCTCACTCGGTCTAACCTAATGAGCTTGCATAAAATATGGACCTAGTAACTTCCAGTCTTAACACACAACCTCATTTTCCTGTCCATTCTCATGTGAAAGCGAAACAAACATATCTGTATCACGGTACGGAAACGAGGAATCAGGAAGCGAGATATTGACTAGCTACACTACAATGTAGATCTTGAATGTGCGGAAAGGATTCGATGAATATAAAGTTGAGGTGTGAGCCGCTGACTTTCGGAAAGGAGTTGAGTTCTGATGCGAGCACATGCTTTTAGGAATCAGTAAATTTGACATTCCAGAGACTATTGGAGTAAGAATACTTGATCAAGCCGAGATCATCCCGTGCCACAGCATCGGAAGAAGCTGTACTACAACATCGGAAATCGGGGTACCACGGCTTCGGAACAATGGGTAACACGGCGTCAAAATCATATTAACATATTATAACCCCACGGACTGAGTATCAGCAGAAAGGGCCTAAAAAGTCATGAATGGGCAAACAGAAACTGTAAATTCATTCGATGAATATAATACGTCAAGTGATAGTTTACTTTCTTGACAAATATGAAAGACATACACCTAGGATACCTTGTATATCGGGATGATAACTTTGATCCTATTGCGATAGTCTCGTACTACAAGAAGCTGCGCAATGAAGTTGAATAGCGGAATTTAAAAGAAAATAGCCGTTTGTGAGCTATGGTCAGACTAAGACCATGGTGTTGTCGATTCAGTGTTGATCTATTTGGTTCCCCCATCCATCAGGAGCACCATCTAGTTCTACTGATACATGATGGCCACATTATATGGCAACTCAACAGCTAGCCTGCCATGGCTATAAACAACATAGATACGGCTGTACGCCTTTTCTAATATAATATTGATGTTGTTGAAGACGTCTATCACACGCAGCCTGCGTGGTATTTTTCTGGTTGGTGTACATATTAGGATGCGTCTGGCGCGATAAGGCTCGATAAGAACAAAGGCGGGTCTCCCATAGCATTCTGATAGAAGCTTCCAATGATATAATTATTATATCTACTGTTTAATACTCAAGTTATGAGAAATCCGATTGAAAGTATGTTACTGATTAGATATAACCGACTTTATTATTTGATATCACTAAATTCAACTATCTCATATGTGGTAGATTTTCTGTAGTATTTTATTCGTCGACATTTAGATGCTTTGGTGTTAAAATAGTGGGGCTACGCGCCATAGCAAAATTACTGTGTTCTTACTGTACCACCAGCTCATCAAATGGGTTTGCTGTTATCAAAACACGTTGCTTATCGACTCCCATGGAGCCTTGATTCGAGTATTGCTTACGAAGCTCATGTAGGCCATTCCGACAAGTGTTGAGAGGCTACCGAGTGTGGTATTGTCTTCAACCGTGATAGCTAGCAACCATGTGTTGCAACTAGGATAGCGCTGAAGTCTCCTCCGCACTCTTCGAGTAATAGGTCATATTGAACACGCCTAATATTTTGAGTATGAAACTGGACATGAGCAGAAAATCCTGAGACGCGAGTCATTGCTACTTCACCTATGAACAATAATCTTCATGGTACGGCTATGCCCCCTCAATATTCTCCATCGATATCGATGATGCTGAGACGTTGTAGGTGGTAGTTCCATCTCCAAGTGACGAAATGAATTGGACTACAGGAAGAGGGCAGATCAAATATCTGACGAAGTAAGACGATCCAGAATCCATTCACCCTAAATTGGGACAGGTCATATTCGAAACTTTGTGTGCGGTCATGAACGCATTGACTTCTGCATAGGGACACTATGACGAGATAAACTCAAGGATCTATAAAACAAAGCAATCCTCCGGTCAATATTCTATCTGCCCTGATCGCTCAGTGAAAATCTACTCAAACCGAAATTCATTAACCCTACTCCGTTCTCTTCTTGGCCGACTCGTCAAATAACAAACGCTACCGCCCCACATCTTTGAGTGTCTAAGATATCATTAAAAACGAGCGCAACAGTTCCTTCTAAAATCCTCCAGTATCTCGTGCCGATGTACACAAGTAATTGATGCTTCTAAATCCTCTAGTTCTTTACAAATTCCTGACACATTGTCCAGCATACCGCAAATACTTATATCTTGGGTGAAGATATTTAATTCGTTTTCTTGACGGCACGTCGACCTGCATCTACATCATTCTTTTGTTCTGAACCGGAGGAAGTGGTATGTGATTTAGAGGGGACCTCATAATTCTCATGACCTGGTAGCTTCTCCAATTCTTTCTTCAATTGAATTATCAGCTTTTGGTCGTTCTCCAGTTCTGCCTGTCGGATTAGGTGAAATTGCTTGACGACATCACAGGCTTCTCTGATTTCCTTCAACTCCTCATTGTTATCTGTATCCTCTCCCGCTTCTAGCAGCTCGATTTCCTTATCTTGGTATCTCTTCTCAAGTTTAAGACAATATTTTTCTAGGTCGGATTCATTTTTGTCTGCAATTGTGTTGTTCAGCGTTGTGCCATGATCGACCACTAACTTCTCATTTAGGGCTGCTTACCCTTTCTTTCATCATCTTTGTTTGCAACCCTAGTAGTCAGAGTCACTGTTGCCATCAGGTTGGGAACGCCAAGCAAGTTGTCCTTTAGTATGGATCGAGCTCCAATGATAAGGTCGCAATGGGAATAGGGCGAGATTAGAAACCTCATTTTATGGAAAACCCTAGTACTTTTGCTGTGGTACCAAGTCAAATAAATGGCTCCTTCTGGCACCTGGAGCAAAGCAAGTTAGTCCACTTCCATCCAGACAACTTCTCTTTGAATTACTGTAACAAGAAGAACCTTTCGGAACTCACAAGTTTGTCGCCTGTTATACCAAAACCGCCCTCCCTTTCCTCTGCTGTCAAACGAACAAAGTTTGCTTCTGAATACTCCAGGACGTTTTCAACGAACTCCCTCGAAACGATGTTTCCCTGCATATTACCGGTATCGATGGTACACTTCGCGTGTTTAGGTACCGGCTGTTTATTCGAATCTTTCCGCGTTGATAGAACGAACACGGAGAGTACCCATGGAGAGCTCTCCATCTGTCATTATCCGTTAGCAAGAATCCAATGGAGACTATATATTCCTTACGTACATTGAATGACACAGCCTCGGCAGGCTTTGCAGATTTTTTGTCCTTCTTCATCATCATCATTGGAATCGGGAGACAAAACAGGATGCGAATAAACACGACCAGACGATCTAAGCAAGTGTATTTTGCCGGGATGATGCTATCGGAATCCTCTAGGTCTGCATTAGTAGCGATCTGAGAATCTTCCTCGACATATGTAATCCTAGATAGGCTGGATCTTGCAGACTGTTCGGAGCCAGCGTCCGAAACAGATCGACTGCGCTTTGTATTGGAAGCTTTAGATTCGATGGGAAGGGAGAGGAAACCATTGGAAGAGATGTTCTTGGAATAATCTGTGAAAGTCAGCGCCAGAAAAACTTTGCGTATCGCTTCGCATGATGTGTACCACCTGCCATGTTCCTGATCACTGCCTCACGGGCGCTTGCGTTATTCTCGTAGTTAGCAATTGTGGTCAAGGAAAGATTGTATTTTTTTCTGATTGATTGAAAATATAGTGAAAGTTCTGTTTACTCTCTTATAGGCTTTCATCTTATAGTTCCAATCTTGCGGAGCCGCACCTCTTTCGTTCACCAGAAAGGATTGTGCGGTCGGAAATCCTTTTTCGATTGCCTTTTCACTGCCTGTCGAGAGACAGCCACCAACACTCTTTGCCTGAGCAATTGACAGGGCAGATTGAAACATAGAGTCAGACCCCAAAGGATGGTGACAGGCGCCGGCCCCAGAATTCCGTCCACCGACCAATCAGTCAGGTGGCTAAGTAGCATGATTTGGGGTAATCAGCGAATGAAGCGGTGAAGTTTCACCGAAGATGAGGTTCGAGAGCTATTAAAAAATTGATGGGATACTGGAAGAAGTGAACAGAACCAAATCATCCTGTGCCTCTGGCTGGAATTACCGAAAGGATTCATCGCCAAGAATGACTGATTATTCTATAAATATGAATAGATGGTCAAGAAACAATTGTATCACATAGACCGAGACTTAGAGGTGTATTGAGTGACCTTTGAGCTCGTTAAATTTTCTCGCGGAAATTTGAGTCGCAATAAAATTGATTCACGAAAGTTTCGAAAAAAGATCTAAAACATGACTCCAGTGGCATTTGAGTTTTCAAATACTCCATTGTTTTAAATGAAATATCTGCAGCAAAGTCCTATTGTTGCCTCCAGAAGGAGCCTCAAAGTTTCCGGTTTGTCAGTCAGGCTGTGTTACGCATGCTCGATGTAAGATAAGTCGACCACCCTACTTTCAGACCACCCCTGTTTTGGACCACCCTTTTATATTAAAAATCGCTTTTTTAGCCTATTAATATCTCTATTAATATATAATCTAATTTAATAAAAACTTGAATATATATAATTTAAATTATTTTAAGCTTATTTTGAAATTTTGAAATTTTTAGGAATTTTCTATATTAAGATTCAAACCTTTAAAATATTGATTTTTTAATTTATATAAGAATCATATACAAATTTAAAACTTTTATAAAATCTTTAATAACTTTTTAATAATAACCATTAAAAGAAAATTATAACGTAGTTTATTAGTGAGTGGGTTATATTAATAAATGAATCACTTTCACCTTAATTTATACTCTTCTTTTTCAATATACATTTTATTAATAACCTACAATAAATTCGAATAATCAAAAAGCTCGTATACTCCTCATTATTAAAGCTATTCAGAAAAATAAAAAAATAAGTATTCGAAAAGTTACGAAAATATATAATATCCTGAATACAATATTACAATATAAAAATCAAAGGTTTTACCTCTCGCTTCAAATGTTGACCTAAATCTTATAATCTTTCAGAATTAAAAAAGAATATCATTTCTAAATATATAATTGATATAAATTCGAAAGGTTTTTTATCTAAACTTAAGAATATGGAAGATATAACAAATTATATTCTCGAATTGAGGGGTGTAAAATATATTAAGAAGCTCTAAACATATTGATTTGTAAAATATTAAATTAAATTAAAAACACATTTTAATTATATTTATAACTTTCAAAAAGCTTTTTATAAGGATTCTAAATTCTTTAAAGAATGATTTCGATTAATTATAAATATATAAGCGAAATACAGCATTTTAGACGGAGATTTCTACAATTTTAATGAAACAGGCTTTATAATAAGGATTATATATATAGTAATAATAATAACTAATACTAAACGAAATAATAAAAACAAGGTAGTATAATCAAGCAATTAAGAATAGACTATAATAATAATATACAAAAATAAAGAGAATAGTTTTATTCTCTTATTTCTAGTAGTTCAAGGACAAGTTCATTTCTTCAATTAATATATCGAAACAAATCTTCCTATAGAATGGGCTATTAAACCTATATCTAATAGATAAACAAATAATGAGATAGGTTTAAAATAGTTGAAATATTTTGATAAGTATATTAAAAATCAAAAAAAGAGTAAATATTGAATATTAATGCTGAATGGATATAAAAGTCATGAATTAACAGCTTTTCAAGTATATTACAAAGAGAATAATATTATATATTGTTCACAATAAAGGAGCAGGCCAGTGGAATGCATGTATTATTGACTATGTAGATTAATTGTACTAAGGTAAAATCTAACTACGAAGTGGAAGTGATATATGCACAGTAGCTTAGAGCACGTGCCACAACTTCCAACATATATTTATATTTATTATTATATTCAAGTTATTTAATTCAATCACTTAATGTTAGCTGTTTTAATAATCTGAAACGTTTATATAGTAATTAAATTAATGAATTTATTAAAACATATATTAATTATATTTCAAAGATTAAATTCTTTATAACTTTTAAAGCTATATACAAGGAATCAATTACTTTTTAGAATATAAAATCAGAATTCCAAAGAACAGATTTAATCCTATTTAATTTTAAAACTGTATTCTCGAAATTAGATATTTAAATTCATATACCTACCCCTTCCTCTTTCAATTTAAATCAATAAATTTCTCAAACTCTTTACAATCTAATTAAAGCTCTTTCTTAATCAATATTAATTAAATCTCGAATAACTTGTTATCAAAAAACTCCCCTATATTTATATTTGAGATTATATTAACTTTAATTAAAAGTACAAAAAGATTAGCTTATAAAAATACACTTTTAAATATAAAGAATTATACACTTTGAGTAGTAAATAAAGTATTAAGTAAATATCGATATATGAAAAAAATCTAATTATATTAAAAAGGATTATTTATTGAATAAAAAGCTTTTGATATATTATTTTAATAAAAGGTTGATATTCAGATTTAATATAACAAGTATTAAAAAGAGGGTAAATTTAATAGGGAAATATTTTCTATTTGATATTATAGTAAATACAGAAAGACAGATTATAATATAAGAATCTATCAAAATGATATAATAGATTTTAAATTATTAGAATCTTTATAATTTTAATTAATTGATTTAATTGTTGTTGAATAATATAGTTTTGAAAGTATAAATTGAGGTGAAAATGATTCATTTACTAATATGACCCACTTGTTATGACAAATATCACATGACACATTCGCGTGTTATATGAGGAAGCCTTGGGAAGCTACGGGCTGTTACGGAGGTACCCGCACCGCAACATGGATTATAAGATAAACCTAAGGCCTTGGTGTTGGAACCTACGAAAACAGCACTGTAGGGACAGTTGGATTAAAGGGTAACGAAAGATAGCGGTAACCGAATCAATAAGCAATGATTAAAAGATAGGTACCTATCTTTTGTTGGCACCTATCCTACAGTAGGCACAGGAGGGATAGCGGTTACAGGTTATCTAGTAAGCACAGGTTAGATAAGCAGTAGTATCATATAGGTCACGGGGCAAGTGTCACGTGATGGATAGACAGGATAGACAGTCTACCCAAGCTATCCAGACGAGAACGAAGGTCTATATAAGGGAATGGGTTTCATTACAATGTAGAGCTTCGTGCTCAAGAACAATCATTAGTTTCATTACTATAGTTACGAGAATTGCAACCAGTTACAACCTTATTGAATTCCTACTTGAAGTCTAGTCTAAACCACCTCGAGAGATCTCTAGACACTTCCACGTGACCCTAGAGGCAGCTCCCGTAACACGGGCTCCAGGAGTATATGAATCCCAAAGGCTCCAGATAATAAAGGTCTATATAACAAATGAGTTTCATTAGGATATAGAGTTTTGTGCTCAAAAACAATTATTAGTTTTATTACTATAGTTATAAGAATTGTAATAATTATAACCTTATTGAATTCCTATTTGAAGTTTAATTTAAATCATTTTAAGAGATCTTTAAGCACTTCCACATGATTCTAGAAACAGCTCCCGTAACACTACTCACTAATAAACCACGTTATATCTTTTTGAAAGTTTTGAATTTAAATTTATATAGAAATTAAAAAAAAGTAAAAAAAATTAATAGATATAGAAATATAATATATAATAAGTTTAAAGTAATATAAATAATCCCTGTAATTTTGAGAGTATTCTTTTTGTTACAGGAGCTGTTTCTAGGATTATGTGGAAGTATTTAGAGATCTTTCGAAATGGTTTAAATTAGATTTCAAATAGGAATTCAATAAGATTATAATTAATTACAATTCTTATAATTATAGTAATAAAACTGATAATTGTTTTTAAGTATAAAGCTCTATATATAAAGAAACCCTATTCCTTATATAGACCTTTATTCTCTACAGAACCATAAGACTTTATTCTGCTTGAATCCTTTGAATCTTATAAATCTAGACATTTATTCTTCAATCCCCTAGATCCTCTAGGTCCATCACGTGACCGTTTGGCCATGTGACGCGGTATGTTGGATACCGTCGTAACACTTTTAAATATTTATTTATAGGAATTTTTCTTTTTTTTTTTAAATTATTTAAAATAAATATATTATAAATTTTTAATAAAATTTTACAGTTTATTTTTAATAATTTTTATTAAAAAGTTATTAAAGATTTTATAAAAGTTTCAAATTTATATATGATTTCTATATAAATTTAAAAATCGATATTTTAAAGCTTTAGATTTCAATATAGAAAAATCCTAAAAATCTAAAAACTTCAGATTAAATTCAAAACAATCTAAATTATATATATACAAATTTTCAATAAATTCTATTTATAAATAAAAGAGTTAAAAATTCCATTTTTGATATAAAAAGTGGCTCAAAAGGGGGGTGGCTCGAAAGTAGGGTACCCGATTTAATTTATCCGGTTCCATCTATTGGACGCAAACACATGTCTCTTTCACCCGAGATAAGTATCTTCGCCGATTAGCAATTAAAAAAGTCAATCTGGGCTTCTGGGAATTATCGATCTCGAAGAGCTCTTGCCAAATGCGCACCAAACATTTTGAGTTATTTTGCTGCCACTGAGAATCTGAAAGACTCTACCTATCTCTTGATGCTTTTGCTTCCAGTATATGTAATGGATGTGGCTTTGAAGTCAAAATTTACGATGCCAATGACCTGAAAGTTCAGCCTTGCGGTGCATAAAACCAAGTCTTAGTCTCTGCATAGCCGTAATCATGTTCACTCGCAACACGACATTTCCCTTGCAAAGTTTTGACTGGCCTTCTGAAGTATATTTCTGAAATCGTTGTAATTGTGTGTTGTTCAACTTTTCGTCTGCGCCCGATATAAGTATGTTACGATTTGGAGGTAAAAGTTCATGAGATACCAGGGCTTGCTGAGTCAAAAGTGTGTTCTCTTCCTATGGGTTTCATACTTTTTCTCACGGCAGTAGCTGTCAAGTGTGTCTTTAACCGGCGCAAATCACATGCGATTCTAGACAACCACTTTTGAAAACTCACAATTCAGCATGCAATGCTGTACTCAGCCATTAATTTGAATCACTCTCATTTGTGTAAAAGTAAATGGGGTACATCACAGTAAACATAAGATAAAACAGCTGCTGCCCTTCCGCTATTGTTACTGTCTGTTGTTATACATACGCTACTTAAATCATTCAATTATTCAATCAGTATAACCCAAAGCAATTCCTTGTTTGCACAAATAAGAAGTAATCGCGCTGGCCAAGAAGCCTCGTAATATCACCATTCAAGCCTCAAATTCGAGTGAGCCTGCGAGTCCGACTTCAGCTTCGCAAAGCGATGAGACCGTGATTGGGACCCCGACATCTCCACTGCCATTTACATCAGGACCGTGGGATGAAACCAAAGACCCATCTAAAGACTTGAATAAGCCACTGCCAGGATGGCCACTTGTGTCTAAATTGATTGCGCAGTACCCAGATCTCGAAGCGTTCAAGGCCTTCCGGGACCTTAACATTAAAAGTCTACTCTATTATCAAGCAGAACTAGAGAACCTACGCAAGAAGCTGCACCAAGCAGAATATAATGAACATCGCCAGGGTGAACAAGAGGGCATAACGAAAGCTTCGATGATGGCGATGAATTTAGACTACTATCTACTACATGCTCGAATGGACGGTAGTAAGTGCAAGTCTAAGCAAGTGAAGATTATGAAGCAGATTAGAGTCGTCTTGAAAGAATACAGTATGTCTTTCAACATCTCAGTTCATACTTTCCATCGCTAACAACATCAATTTCTCAGATGATGCGTTACTACAATACTCCAAGCTTACAGCATTACCGAGAGCAGACCCATACAATGTGGAAACCCTAAGAGTCTGGCTCAAGAGAGTGGGGAAACATTGCATCAGTGGGGATGCGGCATGTATATGGGGTGACTACACAGAAAATGTAGGCGAAGCAAAGCCTTTGAGATGGCAGTTTGTCAGTCTTATGCGCAGTATCTTTTGGCCGCCGGCCACTATACCTGACAATCTTGATCTTATTGTACCTCGGCAGGGTCATACAGTTGACGGTCTAACTACGTGGATTGCTAATGAATTTGTTCCATTTTGGCACAGTATCAAACAAACATTACGTCGCCGGAAGGTGAAGACTGTCTCTGAAGAAAACGGGCTGCCCACTACTGAAGATAAGAGACATTCATTTTTGGAAAAAAGAGAAACCTCAAGAGGCCCCCGCTTTTGGTTTTATCGCAGGAAATCTATCTTTAGTACAGCAGAAGGAGACCCAAAGCCAAAGGATATGACAGGGCTTACTGTTTACTCTGAAGCACGCATGTTATGTTTTACCTCAGCTATCGCCACGGTCATTGCGTGCCTGTTACCCACCGTTGCCATCGCAGTGCTCTCAAGTCTTGATTCTACGAAAGAGCTACTTGGAGTTATTGCGGCTTTTACAGCAATATTCGCTATGGGACTTATGTTTTTGACTGATGCCAGTACATCAAGGGTTGAGATATTCACCGCTACCGCTGCGTAAGTTTGAGATACCTTGAGATTTCCAGGATTGTAAGACTAACATCACCGCACAGGTTCTCCGCCGTCATGGTAGTATTTGTACAAAATCAAGATGTCTATATTGGCGCCTCCCAAAACAGTCCTGGAACTCAAATGACGAACAAAACGAATTCAACGAATTGACCAAAAACAGCATGGCACAAGTGTAAGCACTTATTGTCGTTTAATTGCCTTTGGGGTGTCATACTAATAAGCTCTAGTTTCATTGTCCATGCATCTCTCCACTTCAATGTCTAGCAGGGAATGAAAAAATCGCCGCAAAGTATCATTCGCAGAGATTAATGATTTCTATTCCTACTGTTTTAAACATTCAACCTTTCACCTGCATATATTTCTTTACATACATTTTTGATCGTCAGGGAGAATCAACATGAATCACGCGTCATGAAGTCACGAATCAGAAACTGCTAGTTTGAATAAATACTTTTTCCCTTCTCAGCCCCAAATCTGCCCAAAATATGCCCTCCGATACGCCCAATGTCGTCGTTTCCACTTTCGGAAAAACATACATTAGTGTTGTACCATCCAAACTTTTACCCCTCCTCAAACCATGCGTGGCGATAACCATTTACCCGTGAATAAGTCTGATGTAAGCAGAGATGAGCCTCATTCTTTTCTCAAAACTTTATGATTGCTTGTAATACAGTCTCACATGATCTAGAACAGTCACCGATATTGACTAAGACCATACATATCCCCTGCTTCTTCTCGCTCAGACATGCGAACTACTGAGGACTCCGTGCTGATATTACGAACCACAATCCAAACTATCGTGATGATCAAAATTAGATTCAAAACCATGGGTGATTAACAATGAGTTGGATGATAAGAGGTGTGGTTGTACAGACAAGGATGAACAGCTGAACTTACATGTGGGAAAATAACAATTGGAGACTTCTAATGCGTGGAAAAAGTCAAACGAATGATTAATTGGCTCTGACAGCAGATATATTTCTAAATCTACTGCGCTCATGGTCAGATTGACGATAATGCATCAGTTATGCAGTACGATAGCATATTGAACGTTTTTCCGATGGGTATTTGGCCCCTCTGGTTCCTTCTCGTCGCAGCCGTTTATGCTAAAATATACCCTGGCGTTATGGCTTACGAAAATTTGGAAACCGGTGGAGGATGAGCAATAAAAGATATAGAGATGCAAGAGTTGATGGAACTTTAAGTAATATATATGTGCTTCACTGCCTCATCTATAGATAGCCTGACATGAGATTTTAATCTTTTCCTACACACATCTTTGTCATCTTCTGATCATTTCAGACATTGAGGCTACCGGCTCGGCTTCTAGATTAAATATCAATGAAAGTAGTTTTCTAGCCTTCGGTGTGTCTCTACCGATGTTTCGATACTGTATCACCCTTTGACAGCCCTTGATCAAACAATGTGTCTCTCAAAGGCGATTCCATTGATGTATCGGTTTTTGCCAACTTCATCTTGAAAGACTTCTTCTCCAAAATCAATGACGCCAACCCTGACAATAAGCTTCCCTTGCAGTGCGTATCCAACTTTGCATTGACATCTTCAATAAAATCAGTCATATAGCAATGAAAATCAAGATGATTACTCAATTTTGTAATGCAAGTAATATTGGTATTGATGTTGCATGCTGATGTAGACTGTACTCGCGAATGAATCGATAGAAGGGCTGATAAGCTATTGATGCGGGGTTTCTGCATGGCTCATGTTTTCCGAAAGTCGATTCCTCCTTCTTCGATGCCAGAATCTACTCTTACTTTGTGAAGTGCTCCCTAACTTCAGAGAACAAGAACCTCATATTCTGAAATCAATCACTGGAGTCAGCGATTTGTGCTATCAGACACGGAAAGAACGATGGGCGGATCTTTAGACACTACCTAGTAGGTACAAAAATTCATTTGACCTTGGTCTTATGTACAATTAAATTTCAATATTTTCAAGGAAGAAGACACCAGTTACAAACAAATATGATCGGTATCGATCAAAACCCCAGGTAGTACTTCTGTCAAGTAGGAGGACTATTCTTCCATCGATTTTATCGAAGTCTTTGCATTGTCAATAAATTAATGCCGCATCGATAAATCGCGGTGTTGTGATTTGTGCTGGATGGGAAATGATTCATCCGAGTTCTTTCATTCGACAATGCTGTTGATATCGCTTTCGGACTCCATTTTTCGTTTACTGTCAAGTCCAAGAAACGGCTCTTGCACAGACCTTTCTTTTGTCGCTTCGAGGTACTGTGCTGTTGATCTTTAATAGGGGTAGTATGGCATGGAATTGTGTCCAAAACCGTTGTTCCTCGTTTTGACTTGATGTAAAAGTAAACAGTATTCGATCGTCGAATTGAGAAGCCGAATGCTAATTTAGTAGTGGCCGTTTGAGCTTAAGACTTCTGGAAATCAAAGCATCGGAGGAGTCTGCTAATCTTCTCAGCCCCTATGCTGTTTAACATAACCTGCTAAAACTCGATGACTAGCAGACTAAGCGGAAGAATGAAGAATAAACTCGTCCAGAAGGGTCAAAAAGCATTTGAGAGTGTAGATTTTATCGTGGAAAACTTACAAGGGACCAGAAGTTACGAATGAACATCTGGGTATATTTCCTTTATAACGAAGAAACAGTATCTCTTCTCCTGCTCCGTGGTATATTAAACGTCTTGAGAGCGATTCTTTAGACGTACAATTAAATTATGTTCGATCATTTTGCACCGTCGTAAAACTTATTTTCACGATATCACTAAACCAAACCCCCTAAGGAGATAGTGTCATATGTCATTCTCGGATGGGCTCGGCACTCACAACAGTAGAAGAAAGGTTTCCTGTCAAACAAATGTGTCTTCCCAACGTCGAATGCATGCTGCATATATCTCTCATTAAAGCTGCCATTGCAAAATATGCTCTCATCGCAATCATTATTTCGCACCGGATTCAAGGATTGGCTGCGCTGCTTGTTGATCCTTCATTAATATGTGTTAAAGCCTCCACCAGCCGTGAACAGTTTCGCAAAGCCGTGAGTTCAAACATGTGATCCTGTTGTTGGATATCCGTATAGAGCAAAGCTTGATGCCACTATTTTGCACACTCTGAACGAGACACGACGCCCAATATTGCATTCCGAGGTCGAGCATATCGAAATTTTCTCCATGCAAGAACATTCCTATGGCTTTAAGATATGGAAATGCTTCCTGAAAGATCAATTAGCAGAAATTTCTGATATCATTTGAAGATTTCTAGGGTTCAACCAAGAAATAGGATTTCAGGATAATAACATAGGGGACAAAGTCATACTCGTGCCTCCGTTGCGAAAATAATAAAGGTGACACCATGTCTGGTGGATAGGTTGCATTGCACTGGGTTTGTGTTTTTCCTCGATTTTTAAGATACATTTGTGGAAATAAACTGACAAGCTAGTATTGCACACGACAAAAAAGCGATTTGTGATCTTATCATCTTGATTCAAGCTCAAAGTCATCTTGAAGCACCAGTGCAGTTTTGTTTCGAAATAGTTAGCATTGAAAGACTGTGCTCAGTCGGCTCCACAATATAGACATTTGTGAGACTGGTGACACTGATAGCTGGTGAACACTGATAGCTGGTGAGCCGTTGTACGCTTGCTGAAAACGGCACTTGGAGATCATATCACAGGATGGCGAACTTTCGTATTTTGGCCGGACTTTCAGAGGAAGCTTACCAACAAATACAAAATTCGCGGTCATGTTATTAGGACTGACGTGTCGAGATGATCGAGGCGGTAGAGAATCAATTGATGTCTGTAACGATGTGTCTGGATTATTTGCACAGGGTGTGAGGTCGTTCACGGTACCATCAGCGTGCACCACACCCAAAGCTGAAAACCGAGTCACGAGAAATAGAATCACGTGATTTGTGTAGAAATCTCCACAACATTCCGGAACCTGGCAAAATAAAAGCAAAACAATTCTTAATTATTTCATAAAGCTGAGTCTCTCACACCAGAGTTCCCCGGAGACTCAACTCAATGTTGAGTGGATTCTGCTCAAAATTGTGCAGTCACAAACTCCGATCTCAAAGTCGCCGTGAGTTGTCTATGCTCTCCCCATGTTGTACGAACAATATACTTGATGACAAAAAATCTCACGCTAGTATAGTACTACCAATATGAGCATCCGACGATTCCCTTTCGCAAATGTGGCTGTACCTGTATATTGTTTCTCAAAAACGCCTAGATTGCAGTATCACCCCCTTTTGTCTCACCCAAAAAGCATGTAGTTCGAATTTCAGCTACCGCCATTTGAGCCCTTGAAGGTCTCAAATGGGCTGAATAAATGCACTGGAATACCAATTCAGTGTGTATCGGCAAGAAAATCTTCATCGGTGAGTATTTATCTGCAAGCCAAGTATGGGCCAAGAATTTATCTTATGTAATGGGACGTGGCTGAAAGTCGTTGTCTTAGGTATGCTATGCATGTGAATTCCTCCCTTGTCCAATAAATTGGGAGGAATCATTGTTCAATTTAATCCACGAAATTATTGTTGACATCCAATGTTTACATAGAAAATTTACAGCTCAGCTCATAACACTTCTATATAAATATTTGCAATGGCTGCCTCTCTCACCCACCTCACCCATTTCCTCTGTCAAACTTCCTCCACCATCGTTGGGGCTCAAATCTATCAATCGTAGCTTTGGTAAATCATCATTTTCAATTCCACACCATGAAGCTACAACTTGCCTATCTTGCTGGCGTCATTGCTCTCAGCAATGCCTCTCCTTATGTGAGTCAACTACACCTTAGCTATTGCAAACTGATGCTAATTCAGCCCAGCCCACATCAGTGAAAGCTCGTCATTTTGATGAGCCCGGTAGTCCAGATAAACCCGATCAATCATATGGTTGTAACTGCACTGGTACAACTCCAGGCCCACTGCCATCTTCCGCTCAATACATTTGCTATGACTGGAGACTTGGGCCGAAAACACTTCCAAAATATCTTCCCCTATCAAGCGAGCTTTCATCATATGACAGATTTGGTGGACTAACGCCCGGAGAATTTCTCAAAATCTGGTGGGATCCCCAACTCAATCCTCCACATGGAAGTTTCATATATCCCGGGGATGTAACACCTGGGGACCAAGGCTTTTCGATCGACATAAATGGGAAACCCATCAGCGGGTTTGTAGAGCTGCCACCAAACACCTACTTAGACAGGTTTGGAAAAGAGACTGGTTTGTTCTTTACCGTAAATTTTTGTAACGGGTTGTTGTCAACTAACACAGATAGGTATGTTTCTATCCTCAGCCGACACGCCGTATTCCCAACGATCTCTACCTCCTTCGAATCTCAACAATCGACCAGATGATCCAGGGTTCCCTAACGACTATCATGTTTATCGAACTACCCAAAAGCTGATACTAAATGCTGGACCTATTGCTCCTGTAAGTATTTTGGCTCTTGAACAACACAATCCCCAATGGAAAAATCTAGAACTATGATATTGTTCCCATACCTTTTCTTTGATTCAAAATGGCGCTTTTTTTACGGTTACCGCACAAAAATGTGATAAGACAAATGCTGAATTCAACGTTACAGTGGTTCGGTCAGCCAGGACTTGGAACGCAATTTTATTCGGGGCCTCGAACTATCGCCGACTTGATAGGCAACAAGACCTTAGAAAGGGTTGACCCTTCTGTTTTGATATCCAACAGACAGCAACAGAGTTGTGGTTACTAGACGCACTTGACTGCCCAGCAACTCGTTCCGGCTATTTCAACCATTTTTCTTCGCTGTTAATCCGTTATGGTACTAAAATAATTATAATATTTACTAATGATTGAGAATTATTCCCCCAATAAAAATCAATGCTGAATTCTGTGCGGCTACTACTTTCAGATGATTCCTTGCTTTCTAGTGTTTGACGAATGATTTTCGATGTACACCTCGCCTAATCATTTGCGAACAGCGTGATCATGATTCATTCTTTGTAGACTAATTCCAAACAGCTTGCTCCAATATGTGATGGCAATTCTATCATGTGTGCGTGGCAACCAATGCAAACGTGCTGATTGCGCTGGTCGCTGGGCTTGTGAAAAGGGAACAACAAGTGTATGATTCCTAGAATGACGACTGATGTCTGAGACGACTAGTCGCCCAGTATATAAGAGTTCTGAATGCATCTTATTTCACATAGGTTCATTTTCTTGTCAACACGAAAGAAGCCAGTAGCTTATCGTCCACCCCACTACTCCTTTCGTCAAAAATCTTCATCAAACCGAAGGTGGATTCGAGATGATTTGTAAATTCTCTGCGAGGAAATTTTTTCTGATTTCTTCTGCGAAGAAATGAGCTTGATTCGTCAGATTTTGTTCACAATCAATTTGATCAACTTAGATGATATGTGAACCAACGAAACACACGCTTGTTGATACCAAGTATCCTGACGACACGAAATTATATCTAGATCTCTATAAGTAGGATAGTCAATAGCCGCTGTGATGTTTCCCATCACATCCGATTGTTCATCGAAATATGCGTTAACATGTAGAATGCGAAAACTCTACAAAATTCCTACTAGTAGGTAGTAGAGACCAAAATCTTACGTAATATTCGGCGAGCTGCTGGATGAGATGGGAGTAGGTTTTCGTGATATCAGGGAGGACATGTTTAATTCTGGCTACAAGATTAGGGAGCATGGTTCTAATTTGAGGGTCTCCATCCGAAATCAAATTATCAATTTAAAGGTCGTGAGAGAACAACTTGACCTGCAGAGTCTTTTCAAAGACATTTTATACCTTGGAATAGCGGTGCACAACATCTAACAGATGCTCATATTGTCAATCTAGAACATCAAAGAAAGCTGGTTCGGAAATCATCTCAAAATGAGAGTGACAAAGATGAAATTGTTCACTCAAATTTGACGATACACAATACGTGACTAGATTATTATTCAAACATTGCTTGAAAGGGCATCTTTATACAATATTATTACTGCGTTACATTTAAGAAGGCACACAATTAACACTGACCTTTCTAGATTGAATCTACTTGAACCAATCTTGGTCTATTCGAAACAAAAGGTTGTTGTGAATCAATATTCATTGATGCTCTGTTCCATCTTTGGAAGTCAATTAGTGCAGAAATTATCATAGTGATTTCTGCAGCCATGATAGCAATGTAGAAATCATCAGGCAAGCATGAAAGCAGATGACTCATGGTGTCTGTGGGGGTTCAAAGACCTCAATTATGCACCCAGTGATTGGAATTGCTGTTTATAATAAACATTCCAAAGAAACTTTCACAATTCACTAACCTCAAGATCATTTCTCCGCCTCAATAAAACAAGATGAAGAATCATTACAGTAGCTGACATCTATTGAACCCTAAGTGACCTAAGCGAAGCACTAGTTCTTCATCTCGAGCACCTCTAGCACTTATAAGCACTTGCTCTCTTACAACTCTACAATAAATTTTTCAACTGTCTATCTTTGTACATGTTGTTTGTTCTGTTACTTGACTCAATAGTACAAACTATCTTTAAGACGTCCGTGAACTTTATACTTTATACCAACATCCCCGTTAGATTCGCGTCTGCTCTTCTTCAAAAAACTCTATATCTTAATAAGAGTTTATCTCTTCCACAAAAAACTTGTAATTTTGATCAATTCCTGAACTGGTAAGTCTTGAATTCTGCAACTTGATTCCATTCATTTCACCACCTGGAGTTAGTGGCGAGATTGGCGAAGACCTAGCGATCTTGGCAATCGATCAACTATATCCATCTCCACCTCAGCCCAAAACCTCTTACACAGTCACTTTCCTAGATCTTACATCTGATTACTTGTTTAAATTTCTAGATTTCGAAATGAGTTCCGACACGATCCAAACCCCGGAATCCACCACCAGCAACATCACAATCCCCGATCAAGAGATGGCAGGCGAACCCATAGTGAACGATCAAGAGGACTCTCTTCAATCTGGCGGATCTCAAAATAAGGAGACAAGGAGCGATTCTGTGACTACGGATGTTACAGTTCACACAACTGCTTCATCGCTTCACGGTATCCTTGCAGCTTTGAGCATCCAACTCTCTCAGATACCCTCGGGAGATCAATTGATCAGGGTCCAAGAATTAATCCAGACACACCTTCCAACAACGGTTGGTAATCCAGCAATGCCGATCGACGGTTGTCCTCTCCTCGAATTGATTCCTATAGAGTGCCGGAAGGAAATTTGGGAGTACCTTCTTTACAACCCACTTCTCAGCGAGAGCTATGCGGCAGACGGTTATGGAGTCGAATTCGAACTTTCCCCGGCTATTCTGAGAGTTAATAAACAGACATATAATGAGGGTATTGATATTCTCTATGGACGCAACAGATTTCTGGTTCAGTGTATCCCGCAAAGATCTTTTAATTTTGGCACTGATTATCTCGCTCTCTCTGCATTGACCAGATATCAACTATTCGATCGTGTCAACACATCTGCAGAAGAAGATTTTAACGTCATTCCGGCAGCAAAATACGTCCAACATTGGAAAATTGTTCTGAGTGCTACATAGGGCGGGTCATGTGTAGGGAATGGCCTTGCATCACTCTGTCGCAACATCTACATGGCAAATATACAGTCAATTGATGTTTTGATTATTCCTCGAGGTATTGAAAGAGACTGGGGTTCTGCCGAGACCTATGTTGATGAAAGTCAACTGGCTCTTACCTTCAAACCACTGGAGCGACTACGAAATATCCAGCAATTTACCATCCGTGCTGCCGAGTTTCATGAAATCCCTATGGATAGATTGAGCGACGAGGCGGAGCTTGCGGATGAGTTTACGCCTATCTTGCCTGATCCGGTTGATGAGGTAAGATTGGTAACTCTAGTCCAAGGCAACTCAGATGTAGAGATCATAGAAGAGATGTACAAGAACCTTCTTACTTACGTACAAAACTTCGAACGCATTGAAGAATTCAAGCTAGACATGAAAAAGCTAAATTTGGAGAGCCCGGGCGAGATAGATCAATCCATTAACCAACATTTCGAAAGCGAAAGAAGCAGCTTTGATATATCTGAGAGTGACATTAATTTCTTTACGTCGAGTAATCCTTTCAAATCTAGCTCGCATCCAGTGGAGAGCGCATTATGCGCAGCCAAAACTGCCATGATATAGGACGACATGGAAAGGTTTAAACTCCACCGCACAACGTTGATTCAGTACCTGGAGCCTCACTACGAGGCCATTGAAGCAGCCTCGATTGACCTGGTTGATTTAATCAAAAGTGAAAAGAGACCCGATGGGTTTTTTGATCACGAACAATATTATCGTTGTGATTGCGTGGATACCGCTACTGAAGCCATGCTCTTACTCGAGGATTATGCGTCGAGCTTTGCGCGAAGATTGGAACGAGGAACAAGACTCGCTATCCGGAAGCAAAAGCTTCTTTTCGACTCTCGATATGATGCTCTTCCACGAGAACAGCTGTTGAGGTCATGCGAGATGGCGTATGAAAAGCAATGGTGGAATCGTTTCGTGGACAACTACAAGAAGGCCGTAAACGACATGGATACCCAGTACCTTGCCATCAGAGAGGCACGGAGGGAGCTCTATGCGTGGGACCTGCCGTCAACTGTCCGCGAAACAGCTTTCATGCCAAGTGTTCTTGATGGGATGATCGGCTGGGACACATATGAGCCGGACATGAGAGTCAATGAAGCATGGATCGAATACCGCTCTTATGCCCACAGTGAGTCTCCGGAATACGAAAATGACCACTCGAGCGACCGTGGCGACCATGAATGGAATTAAGGGGCACCTTCTACGAGAACAAGCTAGATTCCGAGGAAGCTAAAGAACTTGTGACGTAGTCAGGCGATGCAGAAGTCTGATCAAGATTTCTTTAGCGGGAATAAAGTGGGATGCCATAGAATATTGATATGCATCGACGAAGCTTATGTAGTGTTTTTGGTCTCGCTGTAGATTATATTTAATTCAGAGTTTATGACGAATTTCTTACTACTATCATGAAATTCATCAATCACCATAATCCTCTTCTTTACATACAAGTGACTTGATGTTGAGCCGAGAAGTAAAAATCTGTAAACGTGGAAAGCCTCCAGGGATCCTGTATTCTATCAAATTGGAGGTTTCTACTTGCGCAAGCAATGTTAAAATTGATTTTCAGATCTCGAATGTTCTGCACAAGCAATACTACCCGCTGTTTAGATACGTATTTCAAGCAATATTAACAAAGCTTCAGAGCCAACCTATTCCCAACTTAACTTCGCATTCTCAATAGAGTGCTTTTGGAAAAATAGATGAATTCCGGAACCACATGGCTGCGGACGATCCTCTTCACTGTCCAGACTTCGCAAAAAGCCCTTTTCGTGGGACTCATCCTGTAGAACCCGTTTTGCTAAAGGCTTTAAGTATGCACAAAAACGAGGAAACAGGAGCATCAGATGTTTTAGCACTAAAAAATCTTCGGTCAAATACCATAAAATTTCTCGAGAGACAATATCAGAGAATTCAGGAAGCCGTCAATGATTTGGTCAGATTTGTCGAAGACCAGAAGGTAAGCGGAGGTCTGCTCGATCCTGCTCAATCACCACTATTCGAATCGTCTCCTGGAGCGCAAAGCGAGGTACTTGTTTTGTCGAAAAACTATGCAGAATCTTTGGATAGAGAAATCACAGCGGCGACTAAGATTGCTATTTGCAAATTGAACGGTCAACATGAGAAGAGATTCGAACTGCTTCCCTGGGAGATTGCCATTAAGGAATGCACAAGTGCTTATAGAGATGGAGACGTGGAAGAATTCGTGGCAAATCTCAAATTTGTAGTCGATGACATGGATACTCAGTACCTTGCCATCCGTAACGTGAGGAAGCGGCTCCTCGAATGAGATTTGAAGGGTCCAGATTATACTGCCGAAATGAACGTGGAGCCATCGAGATGTGATGAAAGAATCGCGTGGGATAAAGTTGAACCGGATATGGATATTAAGAAGGCAGAGATACAGGGACGAGGAGGTCGCAGGGGTTGCCGAAAATCGCTACGTTCAGATTCATATCTGGATACTGACTTTAGTCAGTAAATGGTTCTTAGGGCGATATGCTGCAAGGTAGTCTCCAGCTGCCAAATCTGAATGGTTTCGGGACTAATATCATCTAGTGGATTCTTCTATTGTTTGTGCCGACAATGGTCGAATATCGTACGGTCATTTCTTCCTCTACTTTGCTAGTCTTGGCATCAGGATCTCCTTCTTTGCCAGTCGTAATTCATGAGAAGTTCAGGTGTGCCGTTGCAGCTTTATCTTTCATGTTCTTTCCTAGCCGGATCTTTGAAATATCTGAAAGATGGTAGAAAAGATGAAGTTGATAATATTAGTCATTATTTGCTTCATCTTACTTAGTAGTTATCAAAAAATGAACAGCTAGCTAATTCCTTCCGTTTAACTAGTGAATGGTTTGAGTGGTGATTGAATGATTGAGGCCTAGCAAACCTGTAATATTTTCCATTGTATCTCCGAACCGATTTTTATCAAGGCTCACCACTAAATACCATTCGGAGGTTTCCTCGTCTCTGAAAAAACTTCCGAGGGTAACCTTCTACAAGAGTCTATTTAGAGCTCGTGTTATACCTTGAAACCCCCCATCAGATCGCATTCAAACATTTCGAATAAAATCCGATGTAAAGGGTCCATTTTGTATAAAGTTTCAGTAGCTGGAAGGTGACACTTAATTATGATTGAGAATAATTATAGGGAGTTTCAAGATTTGAGTCTACAATTGGTTATTGCCCACCCTGCTCACAGACACTCATAGAAGCTTGTTATAAAAGTTGCATCATTACATCGAATTTGTGACGATTAGACTAAGGGTAAGTAAATACACTCAAATCAGAATGAAAGGTTAAAAGGAGACAATAAGACATTTTCCGCAAAAGATTTCTTCCATCGAACATACGTGTCAGTTTTCACAATTGATTCCAAAATGCTGTGGAGTGCATTATTGTTTCTATCTCAGTTGCAGAATTTATCATGGAGGCAAAGTTTGGTTCTCATGTTTCCCGTGTTCCATTTCGGCATCGTCCTCAATGTTTACATTGTGGCCATTAGCACCATCTCCATCGACGAATTCCGAGCCTTGGGGAACTTGACTTCCTGCTTCATGTGCCGCGTTTTGTTGTGCAAAGAAGATCTGTTGAGCAATCCGGCGCTGAATATCATCTTGCATCTTCTGGGCTTCTAATTCCGTTATCGCCGTGAGTGTTGGCTCTTCTATGTCCCATCTAATCTCCCAGGCTTCTAACGAACTTAATGGTGTCAATTTTATATCAGGAATATTGCTGCCAGCGTCCCAGTCATACAGCTTGGCTCTAGCCGTAAGTATCATAAAATACTGAAGCTCCATATCGTCCACTGCTTCCTGGAAGTACTTTCTGAACGTAATAGGATCTCTCCTATTATAAGCTGCCCGACATCTTTGAAGTTTAGAATCTACTCGAGTATAGATAAAACCAATAGGATCAAGGATAATGGAAATTGTAGATACAATAGTTGCTCCAATATCAAAAACCTTGAAGTAATCTGTAAAGCTCAAAAGCAAGTACACTGCGTGTAACCCTTTTGCACTTGCTGGACGACCAGTGAATAATATTAGCATTGTTGTGCTTGTCAACCAAAGCATTTTTTCGTGCAAATATGGAAAGATTTATTATTGATCAAGAAGTGGGATACAAGGATGCAAAGCAAGCTTAAAAACAAGTACAGAAGTCTAGACAATCCAAGTACTAACAAAGGTCGTCAAAATATAGTTTCAATGCTTCCACTACTGTATCCTGTGCTTTGACCTGCTTGGAAAACCTCATCACTATCGGCTTTCGGACTCGGACTTCGGCTTAACAGGCTTAGAAATGAAATTGCTGTATAAGTGAATGTATTAGTTGTGATCTCGTGCTTTAGAGAAATTTTCTTTAATTAACAGCCATTAGTATTCTGAAACTTTTTCTTGGCACCTCTTGTAAAATTTAGTCTCTTCTTTTGAACTTTACCAATCCCAAAGAACCTACCTTTCAGGTTTTCACTTCATTTCAAGCCGGAAGATTTCAAAGATATCTCTTCCCGAAGTATTGTTTAATTACGAAGGTTGGAAAAAATCTACTTTGCAAATTCTCCATTACAGATAACAGACATTCATGAAGGGTTAGGAGGTTTTTTCTCGATCATAGTCTTGTTCTTTCGGACTCGCACATGTAAGTTGCATTCAATTTAAAATTCAACTTTGGACATCAAATAGTACCTGGAGTTGTGCTAAAGAATTCACTGACACTGTAGTGCTAGACAAAATAGGTCATGGATCATCCATTGTCCAAGAAAAGTACCACAATGACCACACAACAAGTTTCAAAGTCAACAGCTCCAGACGAAAAAATCAATAATACTATGGAAAATCCTCATACTTTATCGACATTCTCGATCAATCAAATCATGGATTTCAAATTAAGGGACGCATTGTCCCGTTCTTCAGTCGAAATGAAAGAACTTAAGGGCACTCTCATCAGCATTCCTCAAGAAGTTCGGGACATGATTTACTCATCTCCTAGTCAATCCAATCCTAGGACAAGCCGCTTCAGTCTCGTCAGAAACCACTTATGGCAGTACTCAGAAGTACGATCTAGATCCTTCAATCCTTTATGTGTGTAAGCAGACCTACCAGGAAGGCAGTCTCATCTTGTACGAAAACCCTATTTTCATAGACTGCAGCAACAGTCCCGGTGATTGGGATTTCACAGATGGTGTCTTCGATGATGGTTGTTTGGAAGATGAAGAAGACGCACAAAATGGAATACTGGAGCCCTATATCATCAACTTTTGCCCACTGACCCGATACACAAATTGCGAGCGCAAAACACATCAAGACAAGCCCTTGCTTTGCAATACGCCCAACATTGAGAAAGTAAAGACTTGGAACATCCTCCTGAATTCTTTCGAAAGGTATATTTGCTGGCACAGACAACTCAGCTCAAATGCTTTCGCTGAGTTCTGTGTTTCTGTGCATGCATGTCCAAATATTTGCCTAAATATTTCAATCATACCCCTTGATTTCCATGAAAGGCAAACCCAAACAGAATCAGACAATTTCGGACTAGAAGAAGGCTTGATCAACAATCTCCTACCACTAAAGATGATGCGAAACATAAAGACACTTGCAATCAAATGTGCTAAATTGTCGGTGATTCCGGATTACTGCTTCGAACGAGATCACGGAAGCAAGCTATGGCCTGCGTACTTGGGAGAACCTGACTTACCTTCGCCGGAGCTCATCAGCGAGTACGTTAAGCTTACTAGTGGAACCACCCCAATTATTGAATGTGTAGGTCTTCTCGGGGAAAGATTGAAGGAGTATTTCTGGTTGTTTCATCGTGCCGAATTTGTCGTGATCAACAGAGAATTTCCTGGCCTTCGACGCGGCATACGAGTCCATGACGTTTCGATTCGCCCGCCTGAGGACGCCGGTGGTGGACTGGTCGTCCAAGAAGACGAACAAATCTTCCTCGATTGCGGAGAGCTAATTGAAGCTATCGAAGCTATCGAAGATCCTTCTCTCGAGCGCACTGAAAGCGCCGAGGATGTTCTCCTTTTCAAACAGTACCGAGGAGAGTTACTTAAAGTCCTAGAGCCCGAATACCAGAATATTCGTGCTTGTTCCATTAAGTTTCGAGAGTTTCTTCGAAGCGAAAGCGGTCCAACTGGGGTTTTTGTGATTGGTCCTTCCAGAGCTGTTGATCTACTAGACTACTGGTCCAGAGTAACAGGAGCTATGGAAGTACTAGAGGAATACGAATACTCATTTTTAAGAGGAAAGGCAGAAAAACTGAAGCTTTCTGTAGCAAAAAAAAACAATTGGTTTGTGTTGGCGTATGAATCGCTTGAGTCAAGTATTGTGATTGAGCAAATAGCCAGCGCATACGAAAGAAGGATGTGGAAGAAACTTTTGTTTTATTACAAAATAGCCATTAGACGCATGGAAAAGCACTATTTAAAACTAAGATGGTGCCGAAAAGACATGTTCAAATGGGATGTTTTAGACAAGAGCTCTGATCTGGACACTCATTCTGACGCGGTGGAAGCAATTGCTTGGCCAAAGCTGGACTCAAATGCACAACACGACAGGGAGCATATAATCGATATTTCGGGTGAGACGAGTGATGAAGAACTGAAAGATTTTCTATACCATGGCAATAGTTATCATGATGACGATGATGATGACGACAATGGTAGGGCTAGGTAGTTTAGCATTAGCGAGAATTGATGGCAGTTAATACCGAACCGATTGAGTAGAATCTATATATTAAGGTCAACTTGATGTTCCCTTGTACAAGAACGCTGTTTTTCCAGAAAAAATCTCGATTTAAAAAGGGAATTGGCTAACGGATCAATGAGATTTCTTCCATTTGAACTGCTCGTGTAGAACGAGTTTGTAAAAGTTCGTTCTGACTGTCATAGGGTTTGAAAAGTAGTGGAATCCCTATATTGGGGCTTCAAATTCGAAAATAATTCTACTCAAGAAGTATGAGACGAGATGACATCATTTGGCGGTTCCTTGTCCAATGATAGATGCACTACTCTTTCGCTGCGGCTGCTTCACATTTTATGCATGTATTTATACAGTGAATTAATGTCTATCATGACAATGCACAGTTCATTGTTTTTATACGGCCATTTGACAACCTAGACCGATAATTTTAGCGTCTTGAGTTCGCTTACCTTGATAGTTGCTGCTGTATTTAAACTTTCACGCTCTCGCTGTAAAATAGTTCACATTCCCTGCAACAACTCTTCTGCAATAACAACTTTGAACAATTTTTATCTAAAATAATCACAACTTGAAGAAAACATTAGATCCTTGTATAAGTAGAGTTTTCAATACTTTCAATTGCCACTCGACAATCGAAACTCTTCCTTTTAACCAGTAATTCGACATACTAGGTCTTCTTTTCATATCATACCACTTTGAGAGATTGAGAGCTTATAATCATAGAGTTCTCAAAATGCAGCAGTCGTCTAAGAAACGTCGCGATCTTCGCCACATCCGCGTCGCTATTCCCTACTCTCTCCAGCATGGCAAAAGTTCTAAAATCACGCCAACAACATTGTCCACTGCAACCCCACAGCACCCAAAGCCCACCCTTCTTAACATTCCTCGAGAACTACGCGATAAGATTCTAGACAATCTTCTCATCAGTCCTATACTCGGAACCGGAGCTTCACTGTGCACTAAACTTAACGGTACCGACATACCTATTCCAGAACAGACACCTCAACACTTCCTTCCCACGTCTATTCTCTACGCGTGTAAGCAGCTATATGAAGAAGATTCCAAGGTGCTATATGAGCGCAATGAATTCATAGTTGACTGCTTGGAATCCTAGAATGCACGTCCCAAGCTTGGTGAACATTGGTCTCCAGATCATGTAAGCCGCCATGATAACCTTGACGTGTACGCCATCAGTGACACCCTAGTCGTCAGTCCCCTGACTCGACTACTAGAGGACAGTTACTTCACGCATGCCACATGCATGGGAACAGACTCTCGAGTACTTGAACTGACTTTTCGAAAATCTCGTTCTCAACAAATCAGCCGCATCAAGAAATGGAAGGTACTTGTCCGCTGCGCTTCCAACACCTATGGCATGCACGCACTAATACAATTCTGTCGAGCGGTGTGCGAGATTCTAGGGCTTGAGATTACTTTTCTGCTCGTTGGGACGGAAAACAAAAATGAACGAATCGATTTCAATAGGGCGCTGAGTACATGGGATCCATTGAATATACTTCGAAAGGTCGCTAAAGTTGACTTTCGGGAGGCAACAGGGGACGAAATACCAGAGTACATGTTTTATCATGGGTCGTGGGACGATTACCACTGCGAAGGTTTTCTCTCGTCAATAAACTCTCTTGAAGGACATGTGGCTTTAATGAAAGGGTCTTCGCCATTGAATTTCACGGATTCCATTCATCTACAGTATGACAGATTTTTGGAATATGCCCAGGCATTCGAATGTAATCCGGGCTTTAGAGCTGATCTCGATTTGCCCCTGGATAATAACGCAAAGCTTCCACGTTGGGGGTGTCCAAACAACGTATTCCGGGCAAAGAGTCCTCACTTGATCGAGCAAAACATCAATTTTGCCCGCAAAATTGCCATGATCCCATATAGCGACATACGTCTTTTCAGATGGTTCCGCGATCAGGTACTTCTCGAGATAGAGAAGCAATATGAAGCAATCAACCGACATGCTTTCAATCTCAACGAATTCATCAAATCCGAAAAGAGATATGAAGGCTTCTTTGGTCTAGCAGGGTGGGAAGTCAAGATTGCTCTGACTAGGCCTTACTACGGGACAGGTGATATTAGTAAAGATCCGAGGTTGAGTACTATCGAGCAATACATCGAAGCACACCGAGAATCTTTGAGAGATGATTGGTGGGACCGAAGTACAAAGGCAGTTTTACTCTTAGAAGAATATGCAGATTCTTTCGGAAGAGAACTTTCTTTCCAATGGCGCATCGAATTTCGCAAGTATGACATCGCTTCATTGAACAATCATTTGCAGAGAGCAGGATTGCTTAAAAATCTCAAGGAGGCCTATAATTCTTGGGCGTACAACGACTTTATCCAATGGTTCAAGGAAGCCGTGGATGATATGGATGGTTAACTGATTGAGATTAGGAAGGCAAGACAGACATTATTTGAATACGAGATAGATGAAAAGACTAAGAGGGTCATTCAAATTGACGATAGGGAGTTTGGGGCTGTTGATTGGGGTGTAAATGAGCCAGACATGAGAGTGAGACTTACCATCGATAAAGCCCGAGCTATGAGAATATATGATGTGAGGGAAAGATATCACTCATGATATCTCTGAGTATTGGTTTCATACATTAGCGATAGTTCACAGCAATAGTCAGAAATAAATCTCAAGTTCTATCTTCATAAATTTGAACCATTTGCTATTCCCGTTGAGGACCTAGGTGACTGCATTTGAAAACAGCTCGAAATTGCCAGCCATACTAGGACCGGCGATTGACTCTGAATTCCAGCTCCAATGTCAATTTACTCTTGCCCCCCCCCCCCGGTTCTATGTCTATTGGATAGTTTACTAAGACCGCGTTTGGAATGACCTTCAAAGATAAATAGTGAACTATTCGGAGTTCTGTGCTCTTGAAATATGGATCAAATTCATCCTTCCTTCTCTCCTGCTCCAGAACACTTTTCTCGAAAACCAGCCCGAACTCCAAAACACCAAGTAGATATCATCTTACGTTGCCATCCATTCACTTTCATCCAGTAATCAAGCCATATATATCTAGACGCTCCAGAACCAAAAAAACCAAGCAGTATACATTTTCACAAGACGAGACGACATCAAAAAGCTAACCTCTATTCAAAATTCAGCATTTCCATTCACTATACACCGCCCCACAAAACATACACCCACAAACCATTAAATTTACCAATTAACCAAAAAAATTCTGACAAGTACGGCCACAATCGAGATACCCAAGGGCTTTGGTTGACAGATCAGGAAGATACTCGGCCTCAAGATTAGTACGGCCTTAACTCTCATTAATCTGTATATCCTAATCAGAAACCAGACAGTGCAGCTTACTAACCCTTTTATTATTTACAAGTACGTAGGCATATGTTGCAAAAAAGCACTGCGATACGGCACATCTGCTCCTATATACGGTAGAACATAGCTCGCTACTCCTACACACCCCTCAAATACCTCCCTACGTCGTAACAACACAGCTCGCTAATCATGTGAACTCCTTAGTACGGTGCAATACGGTTTTTCAGTCCACTTAGCAACTACTTCGTGATACTTAAGGATCTTTCTGCTCCTGATCTAATCGACTTCTTCTTTTGATACTTCTCGTTCATTCTCTTGATTTTATATCGACAACTCGGATATGAACCCGAATTTGAAATCCAACACGAAGAACACATAATACGGAAGAAAAACGGTCATCTGCTACGGTGCAATACAATACAATAGTCTAATTAGTGTCTCTTACGACTTTGTGCAGGACTACTTAAGACTTCTTCTTCCCACTTCAAAAAAACATCCTCTTTCGACATCATATTCTTCTCAAACTCATCAATCATCAGGACCAATCAGAGAACAGCACAAACTGAATCCCATCTTCCATCAAGTCATCTACTCTACATCCATTAGTAGTTTTTACTTCTGCCGACTAGTCATACATCTTCCCGTTTCACTAGAAACCAATCCTACAGCAACACTCTTGTGCACCATTACAACATCCCACATTTTTTCGACAATTTGAAGAACACCACAAAGAGTATCACAATACTCACCATGCAGAGCCCCAGAAAAATTGGGAAGATGAAGTCTCCAACCTCCGAGCAACTCACCGGCAACACCCAGTCTATAAGCCCCTATTCCAATGGCTCCTCCCCATATACAGACACCCCGCCGCAGAATCCGCTCCTATCAAGCATCCCATCTCGCGGATCTCCTGCCCACATTCTAAACATGCCACGAGAAATCACCCACAGAATTTTCTCATACCTACTCACCAACCCCATTCTCGGAACCGGTACCGCCATCACCACGATTGCAGATCCCGTTAAGAACGGCAAACGAGTCGTCAAAGTCCCCAAATACGAATTACATCCCGCGATCCTCCGCGTCTGCAAGCAAATGTATCACGATGGTGTTCATGTGCTATACCAGCAAAATGAATTCATCATGGATTGCACGAATTGGATGTATCGGGATGATTCGAATGAGGAATTAAGTGGAATCTATGAATACACGAGTAGTTACGACCAAGATTACTTTCCCATCACGACCGCTCTGAATGTATCGCCCCTGACTCGATATGCCGAGCACTCTAATGTAGCTCCCACTGAGCAGGATTGGGAGTACCAGGGAAACGAATTCTTCTATCAACAACCGACTTTCAATCGTCTCGTGGGTCCTCAAGCTCGATATGTTCGGAAGTGGAAAGTCATCGTGCGTGGAGATCAGGGTTATTTCACGCATAGATTCGATGAAGCTGCATTAGCACAGTTCTGTCATGCTATCTGTCAATGTTCAGACCTTTCACTTTCTTTCATCGTTTGCATAGACAAAACCTCCGAACAAACCCAAAAGGCAAGTCGTGCGGATTTTGCCAAACATTTGAGTTTTGAGGAAGTCTTCGCTGCTCTAAAGCTACTGAGGAATGTGCACAGCGTGGAGTTCAAAGAAGCACATTCGAATATCGATGAGGAAAAAGGTGGAGAAGAGTTTCCCGAGTCGCTCCCTGTTTATCTGGATGAGATCCATCAAATGGTCGATGACTCTGCGGCCACCATCACCTCGGGAGAAGAGAAGGACAGGTACATCGATTTGATGAAGGGGTCCTCGCCATTGGTCGAACCCATCAACCTAATGTGCGACGAGCTTGTAGCATATACCCAAACCTTTGAGAGCGTGCCTGAATTCAGACAGGACATAGACGTGGGCGACTTAGATGCTACCAATCAACACAAAAAATCATACAATACGCTTGAAGGCACTCTTCGACAAGCACGAGCAGCAGCATTGGTTGGGAACGTTAAAGGTTTCAAAGCCTTACGCATGGAGCTGCTGTTGGATATTGAAAATGATCAATTCCAGAGAATCAAGCGATGTTTCACCCAACTAAACGACTTCAATTTGCAGGATAGGGTTTTTCGCGGAATGCTGTGTCAAGGAGAATTCAACAATCGCATATATGAGGATCAGGGCTTTGTGATGGATCTCAACAAGGATTCGCCCGAGACACGTCACTGGCGAGAGAAGATCACCAAAGCTCTCTCCTTGTTGGAGGAGTATGCTGAATCTTTGGAGATAGATTTGAACAAGAACTCTATCTATCGCCCGGGATATCGCATTCGAAATCCTGGAGCTTATATTAAGGATCCTGCGAGAGAGAAGTTGATGCGAAAAGTCAGAAAGGCGCATAAATTTCGGGATTACGGCTATTTCATCCACTGCTTCCAGAAGGTCGTCAACCGATTGAATGATCAATATATTGAGATCCTCAAGGCTAAACAAAATCTCTTCCGATGGGATGCTAGACCTGCTCCAAGAGGAATTGATATTCCTGTTGGGGATGTTAAGATAATTTTTGATCGTGACATCGAACCGGTCGAATGGACTATCCGCGATTTCGACTACAGTCACAAGCCAGGGAAACGAGCACGGGAGACTATGAAGCAAGCCCCGTCACCTGCAAAGCGACAGCGTCGTTCGAGATAGAGGGTAGTGGTGGAGGAGTTTCCATGTGATTCAGGATGGAGTGGTGGGTTTCTGTGTCTTGAGGTTGGAATTTAGGGAAATCGTAACTACCTGATCATGATACTTTCATACTTAATCCAATCAAGTATTATCAGGAAACTAGCAATTTTGAATTGAATGAATCGCAAATCGAAGTAAACTGAAGTGAATCGAAGTGAAATAATATGTAATTTTGGGGACTCCAGGTTTTCGTGAAGAAAAGATATGATCGCCATGATATTGCATGCTAAGATTACTAAGCTCCCTTGATTTGCAAATCAAATCCTCTAACTAACAATAAAGGAAATATCCCCCCAAACTCATTAATATCTAACCACCTCCACCGCACCGTGTTCCTTACAGCCTTCACATCCAAAACATCATGTCATAAAGAATCTCTGATTCTCACAAACTCCAAATATCTAGCTTTAGTCCATCGCCTACAGCTCTTACCAAATACCATCATTGGCCATGTACACATAACAAACACGAAATCCAAGACACCGATCGCGATAAATGTCTGTTTAACTCCAGTATCCAACCAATAACTCGCTGCAAATGTAAAGATACACCCGATGGTATTGTTTATGACGCTAACTCCCACCATACCCTCGAGTACCATTTCCGGATATGCATCCATGAGGTAAGACATAGACAAATCTCCCGCGCAACCCCATCCAAAACCAATGAATCCAAGCCCGACGTACGGAGCTGGCCACGACCATTCGTATGCTGTACCAAGACCGAAGATAAACATTCCCATTGGTGAGAATATAGCACATGGATACATCATCCAGAGACGATCTTCGGCTTCTAGAATACCATGACGATATTTCTTAGAGTACCAAAGTACGAAAACATCCGAAAGATAACCACCCCAGAAACAACCAATAATGGCGCCGATCAAACAAGGAACATTCATAAGACCAGAGCTAATAGAGGTGTAGTTCCAAGGAGCCTCAGTCCAGTTGTCTTCTTCAAGAGTAAGGTAGAAGGTAAGCCAAGCATCTTGGGCTCCCCACTGCAGACCACTGTACCAAACGGCTGGGAAAGTGAAAATGCGGAGAGTATGGAAGAGACGAGAAAAGTATTGTTTGAATCCAGTTCCCTTGAGGTTAGATGCGGGTGTGATTAGTTGAATGCGTTTGCGGAAGGACTTCTTGGCGGGGGCGCTTGAAGGTGGAATGGGAGGTGTGTCGGAGGGAGTTGTGGATAAAACAGTATCTTTCTCGTTGCTGTGGCGAACTGGATATTCCTCAACCTTGGCTTGGGACCCAACACCATCGATTGGAACTTCGTATGCAGATTCGGGACGGTCAAACATCGTCTCTTCGAGGGTAAAGTAACACACAAGTATGGTGCACGAAGAGATAATGACGGACCACCAGCCAATCCATCGCCAGCCTAGAGGTCCCCCAGCAATATATCCAGCAATAATAGGACCTAGATAGGTACCAATACTAGTCGACAAAACGTAGATACCTAGAACCGTTCCTCTTTGATGTTGAAAGAACAAATCTGAGAGGGAAAGCTGTACATTGGCCTCGGCACAAGCTTCAGATGCTCCCACAAAGAGTTGATTCCAGATTGAGTCGCTCGTGGATTGCACGCGAGCCATCCATATAGCGCCAATGACTCCCAATGTCAAACAAATGATGTAGGTAACCCTTCTTCCGTATAACCACGCAGCAGGCGAGATCAACAAAGTCCAATAACCAATCCCTACAAACAAAACTCCAGCCCCAGTATTCATTGCATCGTAAGTGATTCCATATTCCTCATTCATACCATCCTGCGCCGAGCCCGCATCGTTCGCAGTAGCAGCCGTTAGACCTGTAATGAAACAAACCAGAAAAACATGCCAATATTTTCTTATGCGAGACCAATTGAGTGGATCGAGCGGCGAGGAGGTAGGTTGTGGTTCCAAAACGATATTCCCATGTTTGAGAAGGTTTGAATTGTTGGATTGCTCGATATCTTCTACCAGTCTTGTGGTACCTGGGAGAAAATCTTCACCGTGCATGTGAGTTGGGTCCATCGCCGATAGCGATTTCTGTATCGTGGCTAAACCACGACAATAGAGCGACCTGATCTTTGCGAGTAGTCGACAATTGACTTGGGAACAATCGCAACGCCGAACAAGAGAATAGAGAGTAAGGAAGAAGATTAAATTGAAGAGAGAAGGCTTTAGGTAAGATGACGAAAGGACTAACAAACCTTAGGAAAATCCGTAAAGTTATAAGAATTTCCACTTGGATGTCTTATCTGTGCGATTCCCACATTACCATTATGAGATGAAAACTCTAGGGTTAAGGTTGGGAGTTGAACAATTTTTTCGTGCCCGATAAGAAGATCGATGATCGGATTTCTCTTCACGGATTTCTCTTCACGCAAGACTTACCGAAATGTGTACGATACATACCAGATTGGTGTATTATCTTCCATACTTCTGGGGTAAAATGAATGAGAAGTAGAAGCAGAAGATCTGTAACCGGTGACTATGTTTGTTCGTACTTCGTATTCTCCCATTTTATCAGGATTATCAGGATTGACATTGGATCAGAAACGACGAAGCATGGGATGTTATCCAAAAGCTTCGTAGTATAAGTGTGAATGTCGGAGGTACAACCAGAGTTGGGATGAATAAGTCAGGTCTCAATTGATTGACTGAATTGTGCTCCGTATTTGGTGGAGCCTTGTCTAAAGCTTGTATTGGAGGGAAGCGGGCTGACGATACCATATACCAAATACCGATTGCTTGATTGAATTCTATCCGTGTTTAACTTCTGGCCAAGTCACACTTAACTGTCGACTAACAATCACCTAACAATATTTGCCGTTAACATTGAACTCTGTTTTCATGGTAGAATTCACTGGGCATTCATCATATCATAGTTGCTTCTTTACCCCGTCGATCAAGATAAAAATAAATCTACAGTCAATACAATTCTAGAAGTATAGATCGGTATTAGACACACTTGCTACTAATTGAGTCTAGTGGTAGGTAGTCTCGTAGTATACAGACTCCAGAGGTTATTTCATCTCTCGGCTATCTCCCCTTCATTTATCTCCTTGTCTTTTCTATCTTGTCGAGTCTGTTTCGCTATCCTGAGGATTCGACTGCAGCTAATCATCCGGATATCGACACCCTATCAATTCGGACAGCTTGCTTGTACTTTCCTCCTTCAGCTTAGCAACGACGTGACGGGAAGACCAACAGGACCCTGAACTTCCATCTCCCACTGTACCGCCTAGACTTACCAAGACAGGATCTGATGTACCAATACGATAAGAAGGATACTTGGTTTGCAGGAGCGATAAGACATTCTTCAACCACCAACTCGCAATCGATCCAATCTCGTCGGTCCTTCAATCCCTCGTCCAATGCAGAAGTAATCATCCAATCCAAAAAGCAATCGAATCAATGCTGCTTGATACTTGGACCTCGGGAGAACCGCATGAACCGCACGTAATTGGGCCCTACGTCCACTGAGCTATCGACATTGCTGTCAGGTGGTCGAACACTGCATTTGATAGTGACACTCCGCCGCTGCAGAGAAATGAAGTTGTCTTCTAATCTATCAAGTACAGTCATGGAATGATATCATCCCTTTACTGTGTTCGAGTTTGTAATACACAAACGCATGCCAGGTAGGTTTCGTTGTTGAGAGAACATTAGCTTAAATAAGGTGGATCAATCATATGATCATACACTAAGTATATTTTACATTTCTCATCCCTCCCGTTCTCTTCTTCTTTTCCTCCCATCCGAGTAACAACCACAATTCACTACTCTGCAGAGCTTCTCATACAAGAATCTTTGATTGCTAAAATCATACGGCATACATCTGCAATTGACCCGAGTTAACAGTTTCGAGAAACCGTGCAACTACGACAAACTTTCGCAGATTCTCATCGACTAGCATTTTTGCTATTTTGTACCGTCCACTCGTCGACGTCGACCTTTGATACGCAGCTCATCGAGCATAGCCAAACACACCCGCCAGTCCCCAAACATACGCAGATGTTGAATCAGTATGTCAACCTTATCCATATCTCATCCTGGCGCTCTAAATCCAAACGAAATAAACCGGTCATATCAAGTAATTACCGCGCCATTGCCAATCCAGAACTCAAAACCGTTGATCTGGTCCACAGGACTTGAGAGTCCCGGCAATTATGGCAATGGCGTGAAGAAGGCACACGTAATTATCGTGGGTGCCGGTATTTCCGGCTTACGTGCAGCATCGGTCCTACAACGTCATGGAGTGGGTGTGACAATCTTGGAAGGACGATCAGATCGCATCGGTGGTCGAATCCACACCAGTCGCAAATCTCCAAACGGGAAAGCTCGAGACATTGGTAAATACACCTGACCTAATAGGCAGAACAATATCTTCCGTTGTGGGTGGTTGGGACTATGGTCTTGACCACACAATGTGGGTTGTTTATCCTTTCCCCCGGCAAAAGTGTGCTTACTATATATACAGGTGCTGCATGGATGCATGAAACTTCGCAGAATAAATTGGTTCAGTTGATCAAGAAGCTCGATATCGAGTACTATTATGATGACGGTACACCTCTATACTTTACCAAAGAGGGAAGAGCAGGATCTCAATTCAAGGCGAAGAAAGTAGCTGACGAATTCGCTGACTACTGTGAGCACTACTTTGAAACTCATCCCCATGCTCCTGATCGCTCTGTGAAAGAGTTCATTCATGAATTCGTAGAGAATCATCCTTTGATCACTAACAATGAACGCAAATGGGCTCCCCAAGCCATTCGTGAGGTAGAACTTGTGAGATGTCCCAATGCTCTAAATTATAATGCAAGACTAACTTCATAATTGTAGTGGATCGGTACATCCATCGAAGAAGCTTCTTCTAAATACTTGAGCTACTTCGTGACCGAGAGAAATCTATACATGAAAGGTGGATATGACAAGATTGTCAATTGGGCTGCCAAACCTCTTCAGAAAGATC